GAGACTCAACAAACCAAGAAAAGTAGAAAGAGAACTGGCACATACTTTTTCACCCTGGCCTTCTGTCTGTTAGCACAATTTGGGTATTTTTTAGATGATATTCTTCCATGGCTTAGAATTCATCTTGCTTCTATATTTGTAATGTGGCATACAACCTTCTGGTGCTACATCAAATGCATAGTTGCAATACAAAATCCAGTTCTGAAATGTAGGATTATCCAAACAAAATACTAGAAAAAAAAAATGAAGATTTTGCTAATATGCTAGTATTTTTCTATTGGAATCTGGAACATATGTCATCACTCAATCAAAAAATAACAATAATCCCCACAGGCACATTTGACAGGCCAAAGCATGATGTTTTCCCAGAGTCAGACAACACAAATAATTCTTAAACCTTATCATCTTACCTTTATAATTTGGAATGGGGACTTTGAAGGGTTTGGACAAAATGCTGCGGATAAAAGCCTCCTAAGAATTCAGAGAGAAAGCACATGTTTCACAAGTTTGAAGCCAGAAATCGCTCAAGACAGCGAGCCTAAAATACATTTTAAGAACTCATTTTTGCCTAGTGCCAAGAGTTCCTCTATTCAAATTGCTCAAGCTCCAGCCAACCCCGACTATTTTCTATGTGCAAAAGGAAGAAAGTAACAAAAGAGAACCGCTCCTGGCCCCTACTCCACTTTCCAAAACTGTTTTTGCTTAAGTTTTCTAATGCATGAAATTTATTTTCGTAACTCCATCTACTTAAATCCACTGACAGTATTCACTTCTTTAAACGCAGTTACTTTCTCCTTAGCCTTAAGTAATTCAATCAAGCAATTCTCTCCTGTAAAAGAGCTAGGTTAGCTCTAAAGTATGCTACATTCCATCTCAGACAACTTCATTACCATCTTCTCCAGGCTTCTATGGAAGCTCAGCTAACAAGTAGACAGCACTTGAGCCATCTATGTGGAGAGCTTCCCACATCTGTCAACGCCCAAGGACTCCCACCACACACCCTTCAAAAGTGAAGTTCCTTCCAAAGAACCACGTGTGACCCTTCCGTAACACCTGGGATAAACGGGCCCACAGAAGCATACGGACCGTGCTGGTCAACAAGCTCCGTGTGCAGCTCACCCACCACCACGTGCCGGCAGCGATGCCCACTCACATGCTGGCTGCTGTCCAGGCAGAGAGGCCTGTTGGTCAGTTGTGTCAAGGGCTTCCGGAACGGCGATCTGTAGCAGTCCCCGCTCTCCGCCTCACTGCCAGCCTTCTGCCTCTTCTGAGTCTGAAAAACAGCACCAAGGCAAAGCCTGTGAGCGGCTGGCGACGTCGCCGTCACGGTCAGCGAGCGCCCAACCGCAGCTCAGAGCCAGCTGAGCATCCCTGAGCACCACACGCCTCAACTGCCCGAGGGCAGAACCAACAACACCCAGCAGCTACGGGCGAGCCCGTTCCGCTACCGCCCAGCACCCCTTCGCTCACCGCCGGCGGCCGCCACTCGCCGTCCTCCTCCTCGCCGCCCGCCTTCCTCTTGGCCAGCTGACTGGGGGCCAGGCTCCTGCGCTGTAAGAAGGGCACAGCACACCGCGTGAAGGAGCGCGCAGAGCGAAGGGCTCAGCCGCCCCCACCGCCGCCCGCCCCGCACTCACCATCGCCTCACGGAGGGGTGCGGGCAACGGCCGGCACAGGGCCAAGAGGGCGGGAAGGTGAGCGACGGGACGCGCGCGCCGCTCCAAAGGCGCGAAAAGCGCGGGAGGTTCCGCCCCGCCCCACTCGCCCCGCCCCTCAAGCAGAGCACCAGGCGTGGCTGAGTGAGTACCGAGCGCATCGAACCGCATCGACTCGCTCTGGGTGCCGCGGCGGATCAGGATTTGTTATCCCTGAGAGAGACCTGGATCGTGGCTGATGCTCGCTGAGGTTTACAGGACAAGTGTTTACAAGCTGCAAAACCACAGCGTGCGAAGATATCCAGCTAAATTATCCCGTTGGCCGCACCCAAGAAACCCCAGACTTCCTGAAATAAAACATTTCTTCTTCTTTTTTTTTTTTTTAAACAGACATTTCTTCTTCTTCTTTTTTTTTTTTTTTAACAGAACTGCAAAAAGCAAAATACACTCTTCAGCCCAGTTCTTCAGACTCCACTTAGTGGTGGGTAGTGCAGGAAACTCCCCTACGCCTCACATTAATGAGAAACACACAAAAAAAACCCTCTGGCTGTACCCCCACTTCACTTTGCTCACCATATTCAGCATATTAACCTTTATGTTCACATATTGATGCCCTTTTAAGGTACAGCCATAAAGCAGAGTGGACGTAAGGCAAAGCCACATTCTCACACGAGGAAAAGGAGGTGTAAGGGGCACAGGCTGCCTGCTGCCACCTGGGAGCTGAACATCTCATCCCTCAACTTTATTTCCCCACCTTTTTCCCCACATCCCAAATCCATTTGCCAGAATTTTACTCCTGAAGTGCTCTGAGAGCTCAGTGACAAATGTCAGATGCTGCAGTTATCGGCTCACTGGGCAGAGCGAAGCTCCATAGGAAGGTAATTGGCCATTTTTCCTGGCATGAGTAATACTCACATTAATTGCCTTCCTCATTCTGGCTTAGAGAGCAGTCCTGCTCTCTGCTTTTTGCCTGCTATAGGAGCTGACACATTTTCTGGCCTAGGCAGGCTGAACTGATAACAAGAAGGGAAGGCAGAATGTTCTTCCTTGCTGTGTGTAGACATTGCTGCAGCAAGAAGATCTCAGTTCTCTCACCCAACACAGAACTGAGGAATGCAGACCCATGACTAGTTTAGCTTTTCTCTGCTAATCATTCATGGATAGGGGAACTTGGGACAACGTCAGTGAATAGCCATGCCGTGAGCCTGAAACACCATGGGCAGCTGCAAGGGTATCCCCTTGTGCTGGGCACAAGCACATGCTGTGAAATGTTCCCAGATATAAAAATGCTATGAGATACAGCAGAAAGGTTTTGTCTGTCTGTTTTTTGGTGCTTTTTTGTTTTCCTGAGGGAAGGCTGAAGGACTTGCCCATGACAAGGTCAGAACAGCAATTCCCAGCACAGCAGACCCCAACACTCTGCACTCACCTCCACCCTTGTCTCTAAACTATCACCTTCAGGCAGAGGTTAAATCATCCTCCCCTCTCCCTGTCTAATTACACAATTTACTCCTCCTCTGGCTGTAATCAACTCCCATTTACACAACCCAGAGAGATCACAAGATAATCATAATCACCACAGGGAATAACCCTGTCATTTCCCTTGCTGTCTCTGCAGGGTGCCAAGTCCCTTCAGTACAAGCAAGAAGAGATGGCAAACATCTTCCCTGAGAACTCCACAGGATCAGTCTGTCATCCTCCTCCTCCCTCCTGGTCCTATCCCATTCTCTAGTGGATGCAGTGATTTCCCAACTTGCAGGATCCTCTTTTATTCTTCACCCCTCCTTCCCCTCTTTCTTTTTCTCCTCTTTTTGAGGCTTCTTCCTTTCATTCTGCAGGAGCCAGGGCTTCACATCCAGCACTTTGCAGGCACCAGGTAATGAGGACAGGCCTTTCCTAGCCTTCTGTCCTCTCCATGGAGCTTGTGACCTCAGCAGCAGGCAGAAAACAGCATGAGGGAGAGGTAATGTGACAAAATGTCTCCTGATGGATGCAAACCTCGGGCCTGATTGAGCAGCTTCAGCAGTGCCACATGGATCTTCCTAGTTAAGCTAGGAAGGGACCAGAGCTGCAGGATCAGGACCTCAGCACCACCAGTTTAACTGGGACAAATTCAGCTGGGAAGGTAATTAGTTAAATATCTTTCCACTTAATTCCTGCAGAAACCACAAGAGGGAAACTGAGTATGGCCACACCAAATTGCTGTCAGCTGGAGTTGTAATCCCCTTTCATCACTGTCAGAGGCAGCTCAAATGCCCTTCCACCAAAGCCACTTACTGTGAGAGAGGAAATGCTAAGTGCTTTAAAAAAAAAAAAAATTAAATTCAAGGAGAAAAAAAATCCTTTTTCCTTCCCTGAGGTCGGATGCACTCACATACAGGCAGGCTGCACACCGGATGTAGGCAGAGGTTCAGCAGCAAGGACTCAGTGTTGCAGCTGTTTTTGGCACATTTACATAAGTACCACCCAAAGGAAAATTGAATCATGAGCTGAGTTCAAGTTGTGCAGCTGACAACAGTTCATATCCCAGCAGTGAGCACTGGACTGGGGTTACAGCTGCTGCACAGCACCCATTGTGCAGGTGGGCACAGCCAAGGCACAGCCCTGGTGTCATCCAGCCTGGGGACACAGCTGCTGCTTGCTTTGGTCTCAGAGCTCTTTGCAACCGTGCATGAAATTTCATGGTGTCTTTTGATTCATTTATGACTGCTGTCCTTTTGACCCAAGTGGTACCTAATCCCTATTTCTGCTGCTGGAGAAGAAATAAATCTCTGCTAATCTCGTTTATTTGCCAAAAAAAACCAAACAACCCACAAACAACCAAACCCACAAAATCCTATTTCTTAAAGCAGCAAAAGCAGAAGGAGCAGGGGGATCTGAGACTGATAAACCTCCAAGATGCTTCTCCAGCAAGATTTGAGCCCCAGGAATGCTGCAATCTCCACTACTATGGGTCTGGTACTTCCTTCTCCAAACCCTTTGTTTCTGTGCTAGATATTACACCAGCCACCCCTGGGTCACAGCTGGGGAGCAATGAAATGGAAAAGGAGCCAAGGGTGCAAGAGGAGGATATAGACCAAGGGGATGCAGGGGACAGCTTACCTCCAGGTAAAGCAGCAGCCTCCTCAAGGGACAAGGACCTGGGTCAAAGCCTTGGGGTTTCTCCTTCTGTATTGTTGCTGCATCAAGCACTGATCACAGCCCTGTCACTAATATGACACAAAGCAGCCTATTTTTTCCAGGCTCACGGTACTGGCTGGAGTGATTTTGTTTTTTTTTATTTTTTCAAAAAAAAATACTTTTTTTTAGTGTGCATGAGTCTGTCTCAGGGTCTGAATCAACCTATAGAATTTCTATGTTCTATTTTATTTACAAGCTAATTAGCCATTCTTATCTGTTTCACCTTTACAAGCATACACAAGTCAACAATGCAAGCTGCAAACATTACAAAGGCTGGATTTAAGAAATGTTAGACTCAAACTATATTAGCACTTCCAAAAAACACATCCCTCAGTTTTCAAGAGGAAGTGGTCAGACTGAAATGACTTTCCAAATTCAGCTTTTGATTTTGCAAATTGGTTTAGCCCTTCTGAATGTCCTTTTCTGCAAGAAATTCACAATCAAATGCTATTTTGCCAAGCTCGGACTTTTACAGAGCACTCAACCACAGGAAAAAAAAATAATCCAAGTGCAAAACTCAGCCTCATGGACGAGGAACAGTCCCTGATCACACTGGGTTCTCTCCAACCAACCAGCATTGCCACTAGAGTGCTCTGGGGGCTGTGTTCAGGGCTTGGGTACAGGCTCATGAGTACAAATGCACCTCTGTGCCTGTCCTGTTGCAGGATCAGGACTGAAGTACAATAAGGTTCCAAGTATCTTTGCATAACAGCAGCCTGCATCACATCACTTTTACGATCCAGAAAGAGTCTCATCACAGTCAGCTTGAACATGAAAGCTGAAAAACAGAATATATATGAATGTATCTATATATACACACACACTTGCTAAGCAGTTAATCTACCAAGCACCTTCCACCATGTTTAAAAACATTTGCTCATCAGCTGGCGCAACCAAAAAAGATTTCACTCTGGATATTTTCACTCCTCCCCCCCAATCCATAAAAGGAGGAATTTCTTACCTCCCTGCTGTTTGAGCCATACAGAGAACAAGCCCTTTCCCCCTTGGCAAAAGAGTTTGGTCTCTCTGTATCATTTCTGTGATGCATACAACTCCAAGGGCTAGAAGCAAGGCTGGCCAGCAGCAGAGATACTCTTTACACCCAGCACCATATTTGTTACCTGGAGCAAATCATCTTGATGCCTGGTGGAGTTGCACCTCTTGGAAGATATCTTTTGAAGTTTGTACAGTTCCCTCAGTGAGTTCTGAGGCCAGCTGAATAATCACAACATAGATCATGCAGCCTGAAACTCAGTGAGCTTTACATGACAAACAGAGCATCACACTGCTCTGCCAGGGACTGCTTAGCTGGGAAGGGATGTGTCACCCCAACTGCTGTGCGATGGCTTGGAAGAGTCCTTCCCCTAGCAAGAGACAAAAATGTTATTCTCTCTGCCCCTTGATTAAATCTCAGCAGAAATAAAATCTGGCTTCTGTAAGTAATGGCTCAGGACAGAGGAAACAGCATTTCATTGGGGCAATTAGCGCACTCTAATTAAACCCTAGTCTTCTGATCAGGCTCTCCTGATTAAGTGGGTTGCAGACACTCTGGATTACATTAACAAAATGAATCAGTTAATTACATGACAATCAATAAGAAGCAAAAAGTAGGACAAGCAATTTGCCTTTAAATGACCATCTAAATTCATCAACATGATGCATGTTTGTAAGCGTCAAGGGAAGGGGCTGATATGACAGATCTGTCAGGCACTGGGATAACCGTATCTGATGGCTGCAATTCATGAAAAGCAGAGAACTTACAGCATCTTCCTGGGGAAAAAAAAAAAAAAAAAAAAGCATTATTTTCTATACTAGTTTACAAAACAACCATGGCACAAATAAACCTACTGGAAAAAAAAAAAGAAAAAATCTGCAAAAACTCGACTCTTTAATAAACTGAAAGTCTTAGTTTGGAGTTATGACTTAAAAAGATCAGCTTGGCTTTAAACCAGAGACGTTGTGGTCTTGAACGATTATCTGACTTAGAGCTCCCATCCAAATTGAAAACCATGGTGAAGTGGAAGCTGTAAAATGACATTGTTAGAGAAGCAATTTTGCCCTGAAAAGCTTAGAGTCTGAATGGAAGGACTTAAAAATAAAGGGGGGGAAACTATTTTGGTGACAAATGCATAAATATCTGTTGTCATTTTGCAGGGTTCAAAACAAACAGACCATGAGGGATTCTGAACTCTGCTAATGAGGGCTTTTAATCATATATATATGTATATATTAAAAACAAACAGACCACAGCAACAAATAGAAAGCATTATCACGATGGCTATTGATAATTTCTCCTCTCTGAAAGCAGCTTTTCAGTCAAGCTGAAAAGCAATAACATTTTCTTTAAAAAAAAAAAAATCAGCAAAAATGTCATGAAAAATGAAACATCTGACAAGCACGACAATCTCCCCAACCTTGAAAAAAAGGGATTGGTTGGTGGGGTTTTTTGTTTTTTTTTTTTGCTTTTTTTTTAAAAAAAAAAACTTATTTTTTTACTCCTTGCTTTATGATTTTGGCTGCCTGGATAATGCAGAATTAGGAAGATGAGTTTCCCTCCTTCCAGAGGTGAAGACCTCAGGACCAGAAAATTGCAGGTATCTGCATGGACTCATGTGGGACAAGAGTGAGGAGGGACCTCTGGAGCTCACTGGCCCAACCCCATGCTCAAAACAGGGCCAATGTCAGAAATTAAATTTGCTCTGGGCTTTGCCTGGTTGAGCTTTGAGGATCTCTAGGGACAGACACAGGGCAGCCCCTAAACTGTACTCCAGAACTGTCACACCTGGTTTCTCATCCTTATTTGGTTTTGCTCCTTTCAGTCTGTTAGCAATTGCATTTCTGAAGGCACAGGGATTGCTTATTGATAGTAAGCAGTAAAACAAAAAGGCAGAACTGCACAGCCATAGTCTGCCAAGCAAGAAATCTGCCTGACATTTGTGGGCAATCATTTGCCACGTGCCATCTGGTCTATCTTGCACAGGGAGCGGATGAAGCTACCAGGGGATCTTCAGCTCCAAAAACTGCTAGAAGGAGACTGAAGCTGCCAGGAAGAAGAGCACATTACAGTGAGATGGCTCTGCTGTCCCAGCGGCAGCTCTTACTGACGCTAAGAGCTCCGGGCTTTTCCCAAAGCCTCTCCAGCCAGCTGCTGAGGTGGAGCCTGCAGAGAGTTGAGGCAAATACCTTTCATCTTTTTTAAGCTTCATTTCTGAAGGAAGCAGAATTATGCCACTTTTCTCTTTTCCTTCCTAATAACTTTTAAATCCTTTGGCTGCTCCCACTGATTTTTCACGGAGGTACTGAGTTAAACAGGCAGTCAGGAAGAGAAGAGAAACTGCTGGCATGAAGTACTTCCCATTGACAGTCACATTAAATATCGCATCTTCCAAGCATAACCTGGCCTCTAGAATTACTCTCTGGGATGCAGAAGTTCAACCTGGCTGAGTCCCAAGCAAGTTGTTCTGCTTCATGGCAGGGTTTTGCAGCTTGCTCTGAGCAATGCTGAAATAAGCTTATGTGCAAGCAGGAGTAAAGAGTTGATTTGTAGCATGGAAGGAATTTGCACTCAGGGCTTTTTCAGCAATGAACAGCTTGAGACACCCTGCATGCAGCTGCTGAAGAGCTCTGCTATGTCCTGGGGTACACCATGAGACCTCAGATGCACTCAGACATCACCCTTCTCCACACAGCTGCAATACTGTGTCTGCTTCAGAGTATTCAGTATTAGAAGGCAAGAAGTGTGACCACCACTCGAGAAGCACAGAAGGGAACTGCAAAATTATGTGATTGTTTAGCCTTAGAAAAGGGGAAATATGAGAGCAAATCAGCAAATTTGCAAAAAGTCCTTATGAAGAAGGACTTCTCTGTGATCATTACATCTAGGAAAGGGAGCATTAGATTTCAGTTTTAACTAGGAGATACAAGTTGGAATTGAAGGAAAACCTTGCCAAGAAGAAAAATAATCCCATCCAGGCAGGGAGGGCATTCAGTTTTTGCAGTTATTAAGGCAATACATCCTTCATCTAGGGCTAAACTTTGGATAGAGGTGACCCCTGGACTTCTCTCAGAGCCTAATTTCTAATCACCAACCTAACTCCCACATTTCCATAAGACAGCAGCTGTCACCGAGGAGACCACTGGCAGGCTTATGCATAGTCTTAAATAAATGAGCAGGTGTAAAGGCAGCAGAGCCAGCCCCAGATACACATAATGGGAAGATGCAACAACAACAACAACAAAATACTCATACCTGAAGACACAGACTTACAGAACTCCACACAAGAAGGATCTGTAACAAGAAACCATTCTTCAGTAGCAGTCAGCCCTTAAAAAGAGGTCTAAGAGGGGTGGAGCCTGGCTCCTGGTTGCACAGGTGAACTGCTTTCACCTGTGCTTCCAGGGCTGACCGGGCCTTTTCTCCAAGTGCTCGATCAGTGGTTCAGGCCGTGACTCAGCAGTTCCCACAGAGGAGGATTTGGGGCTTAGAAGAGAAGAAGCAAGTGTGTCAGATTCCACTGTGTGCATGGTGCTGTGCAAAGCTCACGGCAATCCCTTCCCCACTGCTCTAAGCTATAAAGATGATGCAAATTCTATGCTTAAATTCACGCCTAAATACATGCATGTTGTGGATAGTTCTGATGCCCCTCTGAACACTGAGAAGGATTTTCCTTTTCAAAGTCATCCTTGTTTGTCTTGGAGAGTGTGCTTTGAAGGCACAAGGACCGTAAGTCAGCTGATGCTGCCACACAAAGTCTAATCAGCAACCCTTGCACGTTCCTGTAGAAAAGAGATTAAAAACAAAACAAAACAAAACTCAATCACTATTTGCTTTTTGCTTTTACCAAGCCTGCCTTGATCTCACAAAACCCAGGGTGCTCGCAGTACAAAGGCACAAGTTCAAAGAGACAGCAAGAAGTTAATCTGAAAGCAAAAAGTGCTCTTTCAGGCAGGTGGGAAGAAGTAATTAGAAAGCATAGCTAGTCCAAAGCTTCAAAATAAATCAGGTCAGCCATTATACACTCACTAAAGCCAGAGCACCCTCTACTTTTGTCAGTCAAGAGAAAAAGGCAGACTGTGGACCTATGGACCAGGCTGCAAAGGCAGGAGCTGGCAGGGCTTCTTGTGACGCTGCTCAAATGGGCAAAGGCACAGACACTGCGGGTGAGCAAGGGAACCAATGGCTTTGGGAGGCTACGTCTGTCAAGGCTTTTTTCATTTAACTGTGCTCCTCATTCTCCTTCACCATCAACATCCACTATTCCCCACAAGCTCCATGAGCTTCTGCATTAAGTAACTGATGTCCTATTTTGATACTGTCCTCCAAAATGAGCTGACAATGGCTTGGATTGGAAGGGACCTTAAAGATCTAATTCCAACCCCCAACCCTGGGATATCCACATAAGTGTGAGGTGCCAGGCCCTGCTGTCAGCTCCCCATGAGCCCCCAGTGCAGAGCCAGGGCAGCCAGCAACAGTAGGAGCTCTTTCCCCCGCTGTAAGCACTGATCCCTCCTAAAACCTGAAGCAATTGCATTAATCAGTTTGCTTCGAAGTAGGCCATGCTGAATGTGTTTGAGCCTGACTGATAAAATGGGGAGAGGAAGAAGTGCAAGGAGATTAGAAAATAATCGTGCTTAATTTGGGAACGTCTCTGAAGATTTATTCCAAAGCATGAAAGCGACGGAGAACGCTCCCGCCCAGAGATTAAAGATGCTCTGACTCACGTCTCAGAGGCCTGACAATAGCTTATTCAGGAGAGCTGCCTGCAGCCACGAGACAGAGGATGAAGTTTTCCCAAAGCATTTCAATTTGTGTGAGAAGAAAAAAAGGCTAGATTTCATTAGTTTCACCGCACAGCATGAGACGCAGTGGTCCCCATCAATCCTACAGCTGGCAGTGGATGTCTGTCCTTTCGTGGGCTGAGGAAAGCCACAGACAGCAGTTGGTCACAGCTTCTGGATCGCCACTTTTTGATGTTTCCAAGTCTCTGTGGCTTCCAAAGGAAAGCAGAGCTGGAGAACAAGCAGAAGGCCCTATGCAGCCAGAGGGGAACTGAGCAATCACCACCTCCCACAGAAACTAAGTGCAGGGGCTGGAGGTGTACAGAGGTTTTATCCAGGTCTCCTACAGGCTATGGGGTTCTCCCAGCTCTGTGGGCATCACATTCTGCCATCCCATGAGTGGCCTCCTGAGCAAGGGGTATGTGAGTGGTGCCAGGACCTCAGCATCTCTACCCAGTGAGAACTTGGTGGCCCCCCTGTCTGTGCCAGTTCTAAGAGAAACAAAACATCACCAGCAAGGCATGTGAAGGAACTGGTCTCATGTTTTCTCCTTTGCTTTGAATCTGGGAGTGATGGGATGGTAGCCATAGTGATCTGTGGGATTGTTAGTTGCCTGTGCTACAAGTCTCTCTGGGGTGTTGGTGTACCCAAACCTTGGGGATGAGCAGGGCATCTCCGCAGCATTGGACTGAAAGAACTGGAGTCAACACTTGGCTGATGTAGGGACAACTGAACATCACCTTTTGCAACCACTGTAAGCACAGCCCCGTGTTGTTGATTTTTTGGTAGATAACCAGTGGAGAGCTTGTAGCTGATGCTAATAGCACCAACACCACTGGGACAAAGGCTAGGGTACAGCAGCTTCAGCTGCATCTAGGAGGTGGCAGCTCATTTTTAGGGAGGCTGTGTGGCAGCTGCAGTGAGTGCTGCCCATATATGGGGTTACAGCTTGGGGCACGGCACTTCACCAGACTGCAGAGAGAGCATGGCACTGAGCTGCCTGTGCCTGAAAGGTTCCCCTGCATGCTGTGTGGCAGAGCATCCTCAGTACAACAGCACAGACAGTCCTTTCTGAGCAGCTGTGATTGCTGCTTCTTGTTCTGTTCTCCAAGACAGCTGGAGTAGAGACAAGTCCGGCACCGTCAGAGTCTCTGCAGAGTTTGTTTTGATCTTCATGCTGATGGGGAAGGACAGCCAGAGCCTGCTGAACAAAAAAGTCTGTGTCCTAGCTCTCAGCTTCCAGGTAATTGTACTCATCTTCCATCCATCATCCCAGGGATAGCAGGCTCTGTTGCAAGACCTAATGCCCTTTATGCCATTTCTTTCATGGAATGGGCTTGAAATTGATTCTGAAACAGAAGAAAGCATCTGTATCAATTTTCCCCTTGAAGGTGTGACAGTGTCTGCTTTCAGCCAGGTTAGTTTATTTTTGTTCTCTGCTGTGCTTGTGTTCCCCTCTCTTTATTCACTGAGACAGATAGAGAGAGCCCATCTTTCCTCAGTCACACTGCTGGTGAGAGGAGGTGACTGATAACATGTGACAGCAGAATGACAGCCACCCCCACACTTCACACAGTGTCCATCACCTCCATCCTCACAGGCTCTGTTTCCCAGGGGAAAAGTTCAAGGAGGAGATCTGAGGCAGATCTGTTCTCTGCAGCTCGGTCAGGTCTGGCTGACAAATTGTGGAAGGAAACTGAGTTTAAAGGCTCGTGCATGAGGTTTCCTAACGTATGGCAAAGCGACCCCATTAACAGGTACCCACAGGTTTTTAAGCAGTGCAAGGTCATAGGACTGCTTTTTTATGTCATTCTTGAGCCGCTGAGGCTCATGCTTTAAATTTGTCTCTCTAACTAGGATCTGCAAAGCTAAGAAAGTGCAGAGAGGTGACAGCCATGCCCACAGGATTTCCGTGTGCAGCCATGGAGTGAGACTATGGTCTTCTTGCTGGAGACAGAGCTCTGAGTCCCCAAGAAGAGGGATGTACAGCCTATAGATGCTGAGGAAATTCAAAATCAGGAGGGCAAGGGTTTTTTCCAGATTTCTGTTGGATTAAATACTAGGAAAGCAATCAAAATTTCACCCATTCTTCAGCAAAAATCTTATAGCACCATCTGATCCTGAAGATTCCTGTTAACACTGTGTTGTTCAGCAAACACAGCTGCCAGATCTGAACTGAGCATCATCACACTTGCTGACAGTATAAAATGCCATTTCTAAAGATGTTGAATATGACTGTGGCCAGTTTTGACCCTGGGGCACACTGCTAGATACTGTCCTCCAAGCAGACCTCATACCTCTGACCACCAGCCAGCAGGCATGGCCATTCAGCCAGTCTTCACAGTAACTTATTCTGCTCATGTCCAGCAATTGAGAGATCTTGCTTTTATCTGCAAACCCACTGTCATCCTTCACTGTCTTTCCTCTTGGGTTTGTTTGTTTTTTTTTCCTTTCTCACTGCCTTTTGAAGCTGACTTCCAGTCATTCTGTATTTGCACCTGGCTAGACCTTGGTGCCACATGCGAGGGAAAGCTGGGAGAGATGTTGAATTCATGATTTGCTCTGTCACTGGAGGGAATAGCCCTGGCTTGTAGCTCAGGCTCATTCGTCAGCGTCTCATGTCTGTGCATATGAACCTCTTGTTTTCAGATTACTCTGGGGCTGCCTTTAACAGCATTCGATTGAGAGGTCTCAACATGGTTCTCGTGGAATACTCATGGAGCAGATGGAAATGCTCGCAGTGAGACATTCATGCATATGCAACATCTGTGGGGGAAAACGTCTCAGATCTTATTGCTGCTGCCTGCAGTGTTGCCTGTCAGTTTCTGGATGAACTCGTAATGGGATATTTATTTGGGCAGGGGCAGAAAGCAGCATTGGTGGAAAACTCTCTAAGTTAAAATGCCATTGCTGCTTCTAGTAGAAAGTCTTCAAACACTGTAAATACCCCAGTGAGGCTGCTCTTTTTTGTCACAGACTGCTGAAATCCTGACAAAACGCTTGGAAAAAAATGTCTTGTGGAATATTTTGACCAGATTAATAATTCCAAAGGATGTCTTTCCACCTGAAGAGCACTTTGTACCTGCTGGAATCTTAAGACACGAAATTAAGGTCTGAAAGACTTGGGGAACCAAAACCAAAAATATTTTCAGAAAGGACAGAGATTACATCACTGAAAGAAATGGATGTTTGAAGCAGTCTTAAGATCAGAGAGTCATGGTTTTGGTGCCCTTATGTTAGCAAGGAAACCAAGTGGAAGCCTCTCCCACCAGCTGGAAATGGATGCTGTGTCTGATGCACCTGCCCAGCATAAATGCACATGGATTTATATTTAGGGCCAAGCGAAGGGAGGCCCTGCATATCTCCAATTATCTGTAACACAATAGGCCAGCTCTCCTCTCCTTCTTGCCTTTCTTAATTTGTTATTTTTATTTATGCTGAGAAAGATGTTTGCCATCAGCTGTGTCCATTCTCTAACTATCATCCTTGATCTAACCTGACCTTCCATTGGCCACAAA